CAGTGGCTTCCGCGAGTCGTGTGTAGGCCCGGATTTTGTTCAAATGCCACTGCCATTTTGAGTGAAACTCGGATGTCTGGCGTATCCTTAAAAGAATTCTCGGAAGTCCATAACCAGTGACTTTCATTGAATGCAAGCCCCGAGATTGGGTTCAATAGTAGAAAACGCCGCGAGTGAACGTACTGTAATGTAGGTCCGTATCTGCAAAGGTCGCACCACCCTTGTCGCTGAAATTTACGGTTAGGGGGACAGGGGAGGGGGGTAATCTTGACGGCCTCTCAACCATCTCACCCATTTCCGCGGTTGGTAAAAGGATCGAAATGCGGCCGCTGCTACAAGCGCGCAAGGCTTAACGAAGTAGCGAACGATAGCGCTTCAAGGTGGGTTCAAAACCGAAAGGTAGCAGTTGATGCGATTGTGTTCAAAAATCGTCCGAACCCGCTCCATCCACATTCTACGGTAGCCTGCTGATGTTAGAAATGAGGGCCTTGCTGGGGGCGTGACCGATGGTTTCTTCTGCCTTCCTTATCTTTCTGAGCCGCTATCGCAAGAAATGGGGGTATTTAGGGGCAACATCACTCAAATCGCCCACAAACCTATTTTCTTCTATTATGCACGGGACTGAGCCGTAGGCAGAGTGGGAGAAACTTCAGAGTGGTTGAGCAATTTTCATCTCCGAGGTACTGTCCCTCCTAGGCTCAGATCTGGAGGATGCACCTGTATCTTGCTATGGCGCCCTTTTTCAGACAGCTCCGATCCCTACCTTCATTATTAAATGCCTTCGTGCACCAGCTTTATCCCTGGGCTTGCCTTCTAATATATACCATGGAACCTACTCACTCGTACTTGAATCGCGTCGATTAGTTGCTAACAGATTGCTAGTACATACTTACATACGTCCACTGGATCGACAAATCACGCCATTCTAGGCTCATAGCTGAACATTCTTGGTTATCTGGATATCAGAATTCCTATAAGATCGATAAAATCTCGTTCATAACTAGGGGCAATTCAATTGATTTCAGAATTGGACGAATAATTGCGCCAATGTTGGCACGAGTACACACCCTTGACGTGCCGATTACTAAGGAGCCAGAAGTGATGACCTGCGCTCGCGGTTGGGTGACTAAATTCCGTCAAACCGCTGGAGGATCTCGACCAATCAAACTGTACTGCACGGCCGCTCGTGTACCTCGTGAATCGGTTAGTCAAATATGTAGTTGACAGGAAAATATGCTAAAATGTTCGAGTGATTATCCATTGCTCCTCCCAACAGTATACTCGATATCCGAAAGTTGGGGTAGGTGTGTCACCGGAAGTGACGTGCACTTGATAGAAGTATGTGGATAAGCTGCTTCCAACATACATCGCTGGATATCAGCAAAGCATGCTGGCAACAGCTTATCCACGCAACTTCTATCAAGTGCACGTCACTTCCGGTGACACGCCTACCCCAACTTTCGGATATCGACTGTACGTGAGCTTTGGTACAATTGAATGATTTGTGTATCACTAGCTTCCACCTTGATTTTTCAGTATCCTTCATCAATCACCTGTGATGAGCTCGAGCAAGAGCTGCAATTTGTCGAGGACTTTTTAGTGAAGAGTAAAAGCCCCGTGGTGTTCTCTCATAATGACCTTCAGGTGAGCAAAATGCTTTGTTCGCTTAGTGCTGATTAATTTCGCTGTCTTTTTCTGTTTCGTTTCATTTTTCTTGGAGATTTCAAGTTTTTTTTTCTCGTTCTAGGAAGGAAACATTTTACTCTGCGATGAATGTAAACTCAATGATGACGGCTGCATAAAGCGTCCAAATGATGGCAATCATGAAGCGGATCCTTTGGTTTTCATCGATTTCGAATACTGTAGCTACAATTACAGGTCTGTTTTGGTTTATCTTCAGCGCAACAGTTACAAGGAGGCTCACGCTCGCGCAGAATGGCCTAACTAGTTGTTCTCTTTGCGGCCATGACCACTCATACGTGGAACTCTGCCTCTAGGTAGCATTCTAACATGATCATGATTAGATAAGACCCTATTTCACTAAAAACAAGAGAATCTGTGTATATACGCATCTCCTTCACGAGGTGATTGACTTCTCAAATGATTGCGAGCGCAATGGGGAGCGCAAAGCAGCAACCCCATGTAATCAGGTCGA